TCCAATTACCCCACCTCCAACATAAAGAATAAATTTATCACTAGATTTAGCATTATTAGTAGAATAACTATTCTTTTGGCTTAGTAATTTATCTAATCATTGCTTTTTATTTGCTAACAGCCTTTCTTCCATATGGCTTTTATTACTTTTATTTTCTAAATCTTTGATTTCTTTCTGTAAGATAGTATTTTGAGTTTCAATTAGTAATGTCATTATAATTTGGCTTTTAATAACTCCCTCAAGGGCAAAATCTTTCTTAACTTTTCAATGACCCCCTTCATTTCTTCAACCGAAAAATCTCTTATTTTTCCTTGCATTCTTTCTTTATCTATACACTGGATTTGGTCGATCATCACCTTACCTTTGATATTTTTAACCACTTTCGGCAAAAACAATTCAAAGGAATAAAGCGGATCCAAAGTTTTCGAACACGGCAGAACAATCACCCGCCTACTAATTTCATTATAATAATTATCAGAAATAATTAAGCCTGGTCGTGAACCTCTTACTTCGGTGCCAACAGTTTCCTCATCGAATTTAACCCAATATAGTTCTCCATATCTATACAGTTTCTCCGCCATTACCAACCTTGCTTATCTTTAACTTTGCTAATTTTATTTCACTCGGCAATTTCTTTATTTCGGGCCTGGTCTTGATTAGCCAAAAGGATATCCCGGCGTCAAATTTCCTCTTCGGTTAAATTAATGGTTTCCTTATAGACAATTTCGTAGTCAGTTTTATTTTGGTCTAACAAGAACTTTATTTTTTCGCTTTCGCTGGTTTTAATTAGTAATATTTCTTTCATATATATATTGTGTTATTATGTTTAAATTTTATATTCATCTAAGTTTTACAATCACTACTCTGACAATTAAGCCAATTATAACAAATTAGGTAGGATTGATTTTAGAATTATGCTAATTTGCTATTTTATTGTTCGACCATAGGCAATCTATATTATAATTTTGTAAAAAAGAACGCTACACTATAGTATTTTGTTATAGTTATCTAATGAAAAAAATGGTGAAGAGATATTTGAATTTTGAAAAATGCTATAATTCCACAAGCAGACAAGAAAATTATTTTGAAAACAATTATTATTTAACTCCCTCATAATAACTTTAACCTTTGCTCTAATTTACTAAGAAAACTTCTTTTTTTAATTACTCAAATGGATAAACCGTTATTACTCCAATA